CTAATTACTAATTTGATTCTTATAGTTGCACAAAATTAGGGAGGATGAATAATTTTGTACTTGTTGATAATATATCTCAATTTTGATGAAAAATATTCAATTTAACTGTATATATGTATGATTACAGCTAATACCAAATATATTGAATTAAGTATGAAGATAAAAATGAGTATATATTCATTATCTCATACTTGTTCCTTTCCCATCCCTGCTCTCAATTTATAGAAATTTAATTTATTTTCTTAAAATTTACTTAAAATTTACGTTATTTTTATTTTATTTTAAATTTATGTTAGATAAAACTTAATTAACATAATCTTATAATTAATACTCTTAGTTGGATTTTTTTTAATATTTCTTTTTTAAAATTATTTAATTAAGTTTTGAGTGAATACAAGTATACTCAATGTCAAGTAAGAATGGAATTAAAACACAAATTATATATTCAACAAAACACAAATTATATATTCAACAAATATGAAAAGAAGGATAAATATAGGATACAAAACTCAAAAATATTAAAACTTGTACTTGTATCACGCATTACCATCTCAGCACAAAATTAACCTTTCATTTTCTACTTCTCAAAAACATTTGTTTTAGTTTTTATGAAAACATTTTCAATTGTCTTTTAGTTATTTCCATTTAAAAAATAATAATCAATGTGTGGTTAGTTTGTAGATAACATGTCACTGACCTAATATATGATAAGTTATACCTTTTAGTTCCTTTTTTTTTATTTTTACTATTGTTACATCTTGACCTTTATATTTATACGACTTTAACATTTTATTCCTTATATTTAGAAATTATATTTCATATTTATGTAAACAAATTATATTATAATATAAAACTGTTTTTAACTAGTGCTATTTTTTCTAAAAAAAAATATCGATATTCAATTTAGAAATAAAGGTAATAGATTAAAATAAATAAAAGTTAAGGAAATTCGTTAAAATAAATTTATAGAAAAAAAATTCTTAAAATTGTTTTGATTTTTATGTACGTGATATTTTATACTAATTAAAAGTATATTTTATTTCATTTTTTTTACACAAACCCTAAACCCTAAAGTTATTATGATTTAAAAACTAAAAAAAAGTTTTCCTAAAAAAAAAATAGATGCTCCAAATTTATTTTCAAATCATAACAAATAAAGAAGGTCTTTTATATGGTGGGATCACCAAATTTGACAACTTCTCTTTTATTATTATTATTTTTGAATCGAACAAGTAAAAATTACACAATCTCTTCTATTCTACCTAAGTGGTTCCATTTTTCTCTTTCTTAAATTATTTATTTCAAACATAATATAAGAAATAATGATAGTAGTTGCTCATGTTTCAGAAAAGGAGAAGTACAATTTTCTATGCCGCGGTTAACTTAAACAAAGAAAAATGATAGCATAATACATTAAGAGAATTTATGAATATTTAGTATCAATAGTCTATGCTATTAATAAAGATATTTTTTTTTTTACGTGCACATTTTAATTAGATAATTTTATATTTTTTAATATAACTAATCACATCTTTTATTATAATTTCTCTTCTCACTTTTTATTTAAATAAAATACATAGGTATTTTTATTATTTATTTTTCTACTTGTATAACTATAAAAATATAAAAATAAATGTAGTGTGTCGTGGAAATTGTGCGGTCACTGTCTCGTCTATTTGTTGCTTCCATACTTGAACCTCCAAAGGCATCCGAGGGAGGCTCCACGTGGCCCACGCAGAAACTGCCACGTCGATAAATACAAAACGTGCACTCCATATTAAAATGTGGTCTCACATGGCCTCTGCAAATTGTCACTTATTTTAATTACGCCACCCAACCCTATCTCAACTCTCAACTAGTACTCATATAATACTCATTCCAATTTTTTTTTTTTTTTTATTGTTTTTAAGGTTATGTACAAAAATTAAGATAATAATTAATATTTTAATTTTTTAAAGTATTTATTATATATTTTTTTATTATAAATGTTAGATGGTTAGAGAATAAATAAATACATTAAAAAATGAATAGATATATCTTTTGATATGTATGTAGCTTATTAAAATTCTCAAGAATCAGTTAATAGAATCCATGCCATGAATCATGATGATGTGTTCCAATTTCATAGCATGCATGCAAAGCCAAGGTGCCAACAATACACAGCTACCCTCAAAAAGGGTTACATTCAAAGGATCTGCCAACTTCTACTTGTCTCGTCGCACGTGTGGACCATTATATATAGTCATGCCTCCAAATTTTTTTTTTTTTTCCAATGGAAATTGTGTATAGTGAAGCTTTTCCACTCATATATGTCAAGTTTTTTCTTTTGTTATTTATTTTTTGGCCTCATCACCATCCATAATATTGTTTGTTGTTTATTACACAAACTTGTTAGTTATTACACACAATCTAAATAACTTTGTTGTATAATATTTGGAACTTTTCATATCACTAGAAAAGAGTTATATTGGGTCTTACAAAAGTTAATATCTATTTAAATTCAAATAGTCTTAACGAAACTATTAAGTGAAGTAGTGAACGTCTATTAAAATTTAATATTTTTCTTTTATTATATAATATGTATAATTAATTTACATTGTTACGAAAAATAGAATGAGAAAATAGGAGTTGATATTGAGTAGTGGAGAAAGTTGTCTTGATGCATGGAAAATTGGAAATGACAAGTGGCCACGTTGAGTGGGGACTTGTTGTCCATAATCAGCATTGCTGAAATAATAGAATATATATATGTACATGTCAGGTGCTATAGACGCTCAAATAATCATTTCCTTAAAAGAAAGATAAGGAAGAAAAAAAAAACTCATGGCAAAAAGCGAATGTCAGAGAAAAATAAATAAATAAATCTTATAAAAATGTATTTTAAGAATTTATTATATAAATATTATGATTCCATAAGAAAAAATAATTACCGATAGTTACATTTTTTGTTCAGAATAAAATTTATTAAAGTATGTTTTCTTTTTATTCAATTTTTTTCAAAAAAAAAAAATTTTTCTCTCTCTCTTCCCCTCTCCTTTACTGTTTTCCATTCCTTTTCCTTTCTTTTCTTTTCTTTTCTTCCTAACAAAGACACAACCTATTATCATACAAAACAAACTAGATCAATTCATATAAAGTTATTTTATTTGAAATAATTTTGAATTCAAATCTTAAATATACAATTATATTGAAAAGAAAATTTTGTCATCTATATAATTTTATTCTGCACGAACATGATTATTTCTACTAAAAAAAATATTACTTGTGGTTTATAAATAGAACACGTTTTAATTCACTGCTATACCATTAACAATTTCCTTTCCAACTTCTAAAGCAAATCAACTAGTTAACTAACAACCATATAACGTATCATACCAATATTTATAAAAATATAAATTCAAAACATTTGATAAAAAATAGATATTCATGTGAATGAATACAAGTTTTAAATACCATGCATAACTAGGTGAGAAGACAGATAAGCATAGAAATTATTTAATTTTTAAGAATAAATATTCAATTATATTTCCTCTGTTCACTGTTATAAGTAAAAAAAAAAAACTGATTTTATGCATATTAAAAAACTTAGTTATTTATATTCAATTTTACTAATTTTATAATGTTCTTTCTAAATTATCATTGTAATAAATATTATAAAAAAAAACAGTGTAACTATGATATTTTAGAAAAATATTATTAAATAAGACAAGAATAATTAAAATTTACTTATATTTATAAATAAAAAATGTATTTTTTTTTCTTATAATAGAGAGAAAAAAAAAGGAATATAATATAAGAATACAAATATATAAATTAATTAAAGAGTTGTACCAAATAAAAAAAAACAAAAAATAACCAGCAATAACAGACTAACAGTCCTTTTGAGAAATTCAACCTATTAAGAAAAATTTGTGCAGTGTTTCAATCAACTTCATCTAGCATTCAAGATATATATGATAACATAAGATCAAAATCTGTTTTATAGGTGTTGTGTGAATTATTCTTTAATTATAAAATCTCGATATATTATAATAACTTGCACAACCAACACTTATAAAATTATAAACTTTATCCTAAAAAGAGTTGTATTATATCACTATACCAGACAATTGATACCAACCTTACCACTATTTATTATAACAAAAAAATTCTATGATATGGACATAATTTTTTTCTTTATCCCATCGTTATCACTATAACAAGCCTGAAATAATAGCTACAAAGACGAGGAAATTCTGAAAACACATTCTCTCTTTCTTTTTTAATAGATTGTAAATGGTAAGGTCAATTTTAATACCTACCCTGTTCGTTTCCAAGAGTAGAAAGCCCTACTAACAACAAGAAAAAGACACATTTCGTACAATATTTGATTAATTCTTATCCACATCCCCTAACCTCCCTCCCCAATCAACTTTACCTTTCTTTTTCATAAGATTACGTTATAATGTTTCATAGAAATAAAATTCGACAATAAAAAAGTTAAACTACTTCGTTGGAAGAAACAAAATATAGTTTTTTATAGCTTAAAGAATTTAATCTCATATTAGAACTAAGTCTGAAAGGATACCTTTTAGTTTCTATAGCTTGAAGAGAGATTACAGTAGAAAAGAAAATTATTTAAAATGACCAAATAGAACTATTAAGCTAAAAGGTAATTTAGTCTAAGATAAATTACTAGCAATACTCTTTAATATTTTCTTCCTAACACTCAATTTTTTCTCAAATTAATTAAAAATCACAAATTTTACAGATCTAGCTTCTTATTTAATAAGTCCTTCTACTGATTAATAAAATTCACAAAAATTTATAGTGTGTGAAAAAAATCACTAATATTTCTTCTTAGTTCACTCCCTCAACTCTGTCCAATTTTTGGGGAATGATTTTGACACCTGCAAAATTTTGGTTCAAACAATTTATTTTTATTTATAAAAATCCCTCTCTTCTCCAACCTTCCATTCCCCTAACCGAACACAAATTAAAAGTCGTGGAGATAATACTTCAAATCAAGATTATATTATATATAAAAGATAATATACAACCCTATAACTGAATTTACGGCTATATCCATGTTCAACCTCAAATACAGTGTGCACAAGCTTTGTTGATATATTAACAAATGCTTACTAACAAAATTATCGACTTTCAACATCTAAGGAACCGGCCACATTGATCTCTGATTGAAAATTAACCATAGCACCTAATTGGATCATTGCATCCCTTAGCAGCAGATTGCTTGAAACCAAATCTGCCCCCTTTCTCAAGGTACTGTTGATGGTACTCCTCTGCCCTGTAGAACTTCTTGGCAGGAAGGATCTCAGTAACAATCTTCCTGTTCAACTGCTTCTGCTGCTGTTCCAATGACTCCTTTGCCACCTTCTCTTGCTCTGGCGTGTAGTAGTATATTCCAGATCTGTACTGCGTTCCCACATCATTTCCCTGCCACACAACAATATCAAACTGTAAGGAAAGCGTTTAAGCTGTAGAATGTGCAATGCGTGCATGAGCAGCTGCATCTCATAACTAGTCACCATCTTTTCAAAAGTTCATGTATGCATGGATTTGGACTAAAAGAGTGAATTCAAGAAAGAAAAGTATGCATATTGAAAGGGGAGAACAAAAGAAACAAGGGACAAGACAGAAATATAATGGATGGCTAATAACTCATCCATTATATTTTTTAAACCAATCGATCAAGATATTGGATCTATGATGGTCATAGGAGCAGGGGCACATTGCAGGTTCTTTTGAAAACAAGTGCAAACATAAGGGTCAAAACAGTCTAAATAACTACTACCAAGACACCCCTGGAATTTGATTTGAGCCAAAATTCAACATAAGGTCATATTAATACAATTTACAAAACAAGACCTGACTAGATTATCAACACAGAGAACCAATACTTCTAATTTACTTTACTATAGACAAATCAATCATGGAATCAGAAAAGTATTAACAAGATGTTTAACTTCAGAAGCAATGCATCATTAAACAATTCTACAGACACCCAAAAGAAACAAAAATCATTTACATTGACAATACACAAAGTCCAGACTTATTATTCAGATCAGCTAAGTACAGAAATATCAATTTAGAAACCAGACTACCTCAATTTAACATGATATAGTTGATTACACAAACCAAAAGCTTTACATATACCTGTCTATTCAAAGTGGTAGGATCATGTCTAGCCCAGAACACATCAAGCAGAGACTCGTAGCTACAGTTTTTAGGATCATATTGGATCCTCACAACTTCTGAGTGATTTGAGGTCCCTGAACACACATCCTCATAGGTTGGATTATGCACAAGCCCCTGTGTGTACCCAACTTCTGTCTTGGTCACCCCAGGCACCCTCTGGAAGACCAACTCAACACCCCAAAAACAGCCAGCACCAAACTGGGCAAACTGCTGGCCTGGTGCCGGTATGTCATCATCCGGACTCTGAGGAATGGATGAATCCATGTTCTCCGGTGCCCTTGCACTGCCAAACCCAAGTCTGTTCAACAGGTTCATGGAGGGCTTGTTGACAGCAATGCGCGGATGGGTTTCAGAAAAGAAGCAAGAACGCTTGACAGTGAATCTAGAAACTGAGGGCAGGAATTTGGTTTTGGCAGGACTGGACAGAGAAGAGTTAATGAACACTAGAAGGGAATTGGATGTGGTGATGTAGCTGCTGCTGGTTGCTGCTAAGCATTTGAGTAACATGAGAGTCCTTTTCAAGGAGAAATAATAAATTTCAAAATGCTCTTGTACATATGAAAGAACACAAAAGATCCACCAAATCAGGATGCCAAGACAACTTTAGTTAAAAATTTGAACAAATAATTGGAGGCTTAAAATTTGATTTTGTTTCTTTGAATCACTCGACCATATGGTGCTACATTATATTAAGTACATGGCACTTGTATATTGATAATGAAATAAGTTTTACACTGATCAAGAATCATGTAAAGTAATAGAATAATTATTGTACAGAACTAGATAAACATGAATGATGAATCACATACATATCATCCATCCATGATACATGCTTGTAATGTGAGAGCACAAATTTATATAAAAATGAAAAGAGAAAACCCTGACCAAGGATACTTTGACTTGAAAAAATATTTTCTGCTTTTATTTTTAATTCTTACATATAATTACAAAAATACCATCTTATATTTACCTTGTTCCCAGTTTCCTAGGATTTGTGCTAATAGTATATTATAAAGCATCTTATTTCATAGAATTTCCAACAAATGGTTAGCCGTGTTGGGTCAAAGATTGTGCTAATAAACAAAATATATATTTTCTCATGCAGACAGCTGGCCTAATGTGCAACCTCCTTGCTCCAATGTTTCACATGAATTGGGAATTGCAACAGAATCACAAAATATAAGACCAAATTCACAATCACATGAACCAAATTGTCAATAGAATTGGGTGTAGAGACATGAAGGAAATAAAGTAAGGCCACCAAATAAATAAAATGAAATCCAATATCAACCCATACCTGCTCCACAAATTCTCATCTTCAGCCCTTCAACAAATTACTCGAATCAATCTCCACACATTAATAATAAAGATAGCAATTTTAACACTAAAAAGAAAAATTGAACAGAAATAAAAAGAACCCACAATTCCCTTTTCCTGATAGGGAAGAGAGAAAGGGGAAAAATTGAATTGAGAAATGAGAAAGAACACACTTACCCAAGTGAGAGCGAGAGCAGAAGAGAGAGTGGTTAAGGATTGAGAAAGAAGATGAGGAATCAATCACTGCAAAAAGAGTGAGTATTGGCATCAACAAATAAAAAGACTGAAAAGCCCCTCGCCAACGTGGTACAACTCATTATAGAAAAGGATGGGAACGTCATTTTATACACCGAAATCACATTGAACCTCCTTGCGTGTAGTGTTTGCCTCGAATGTAACTTCTAGAATAGTACAAAAGTTAGTGCATCTAAGAGTGACACGTCACCTAATATCGTTCATATCCTAATTTTTCAATTAAAAAAATGTATAAAGAAATGATGGTTTTTAATTGAGAGGAAAGAAATATGAGAAATTGTGTAGAGAAAAATATAAAAAGGAGAAATGAGTAAGTGAAAATATTTAAGAAATAGAATGAAAATTTAATTATTTGATTGAAGAAAAATAAGCGAGATATTATGTATTTTTAATAAAATAAAAATAAATAAGTAAAAAATAAAAAAATATATATAAATAAAATTAAATAAATAAACAATATTTATTTTTAATTTTAAAGGTTCTTTTTACCTTAGGCCGAAACACTATTTTCCCTTATTAAAATTTTGAAGCATAAAAAAGAACTAAAAATTGGATTTACTTATTTATTTATGATGTGAAGAGATAGATCCGGAGGTTACCAGTAATATATAGATAATCAAACCTGTTTTTTATTTTTTAGTTTTTTACACAAGATATTCAATGATAAACTATTGAAGTGGGTCGCTCTCTGATAAGATTGGATTGGATTTGAAGTGTTCCAAGGCTCATAGCATTATACACAAATGGTTCATCATATATACATTTTTTTTTCTATAAGTATACCTCCTTTAAAAAAAAAATAATTAAATTTCTAAAATATTTTTAATTTTTAATTTTTTAATTTTACATTCACAAAATTTAATTTAGTAATTTTTTTCACACATTTTTCCTCCTAATTTTAATTTTTACATGTACCTCCTTACCTTTCCTTTACCCCACATATTTTGGTAGGTAGTTTTAATTTTTTTAGTTTTACATTATTACTATCTCCTCTCTCACCACTTTTAGTTTTTACATATGCAAAACGTATAACTAGTTTTCAACAATATTATAGGAGTGTGTGCGACTTTCTCGACAATGTTGATTATGTTTTTTTACATATTGGTCTAGAAAGTGCTTTTCGAAAGTATGAAAAAAAATACAATAGCAAGATCTTTCTAAAACACTAATTTCACTATCTGTTCTAGAATAGTAAAAATATTTTTTTCATAACATTAAACTTAATATTAAGATTTTTCAAGAGTTAAAAGAAGAGGAAGTTTTAGAAAGAAAAAAAATGTGTCTAGTTCGGTAAAAAAAATGTCGAAAAAGTTACACATACCTACAATATTGTCACGCACTAGTTCTATGATATGGGTACATATGAAAAAGTGAAAAAGGTGAGAAAAAAATAAAATAATATAAAAATTGATAGAGTTAAAACTACCTACTAAAATAGGTGAGAAATTAAAAGAAGACAAGATAATGTATGTGAAAACTGAAAATGAAAAAAAGTGTGTGAAAAAAAGAAAGAAAATAGAAAATTAAAAGTTAAAGGTGTAAAATTAAAAAATTAAAAACTATAACTATTTTATAATTTTTTTAAAAAAATTAAGGAGGTGTACTTATAAAAAAAAAAAAAAAGAAGAAGAAGAAAGTATATAGATCATCACCCTACACAAACTTGTAAAATTGGCCCATGAGTAAGCCCATTAGCTTAAGAAATAAGTGTAACCTCATGCTCACTGGGCTGAACCAAATAAAATGATTAAAAAATAATAATAAAATGACAAAAGTTTTATTTAGGTCTTGACCATTTGATGACTGAACACAATAAATCTCCAACATTAAGGGATAAAAAAGAAAAAAAAGAAAAAAAAAAGAAAGAGGTAGTAAGTATAAGGTGTCGGCAAACTATTTTTTTATATTATTATTTTTTTAACATTTTGTGATTATTTTTTTTAGAGAAAAAGATAGAGGTCCACTTGATGATATAGAGTCAACAAATGACCTACTTGATAACTAGATATAATATTTCTCTGTGATTTAAAATTTTAATTATGAGGTGTCGACAACTCAAATTTTTGAGTGAGGACATTTTGTTATTTTAAAGTAGAAAAAAGAAAGAAAAATAGCTTCTTCCTTTTTTTTTTTTTTTTAATCATTTAAACATGGTAGACACCGAAACATTATTAGGCTTGTTTGTATAAGTTTAAAAAAAAATAAAAATGGAAGCACTTTTTTTAGTAACATAAAGTAACTTTATACTTTTTCATGTGTTTCTCTAAATTGTTTTTTAAGAAAAAATATTTTTTTTTTAAGAAACAATTCTTATTTATTTATTTATTTATTTTTTTTGAGGGGAATTCTTATTTATTTATTAAAAACCATCATTTTAATTTAAAAAAAATAAAAATCTACGGCATGCTGGAGAGACCAAGATGTATCACACTCAGATGTTAATGATAGTTTTAAACTTTTATTTCATATCTCCTTTCAGTCATATGCTTAAAACATCACCCCATCTAATACTTTGATTTTGATTCCTCTAAACTTAATCCTAAATGTTGAAAGTTGAAAGATTCAACTTGAACCTTTTGTGCTTTACAAGTCCTAAATAAGACCGTGCTTGGAATAGCGCAGTAAAATATAATATCTGCTACATACTATACACGTTCATTTTTAATTAATACATAATCAAGGAAAGTTAATTACTAGAAACCAATGTTTTTCTTTTGATTAATTTAATTAATATGACATTCATTCTGAATTTAATCCTGCGATTGAAAGCCATGTAAGCCATGTAAAAACAATATTTTAGCTCAACTACTACTTAGAAGTCCAAGAAAGGTAATGGTCAACATTAGACAAGTTGAAAATTAAGGCATATTTGACAATATAATAATAGTTAAATAGTGATTCACCGACGTGTAATTTACACAGTCATTTAATTACAAATATCAATAAACTGATAAATGTTTTAATTTTTATAAGAATTATTTATAAAATATACAAATTATAATTTTTGATTGGTTTAACGATTAAACTCATAATAATATAAGAACCAAACGGCCCATAAAATATATTAATTTGCATTCATAAAGGCTCAAATATATGGCTGCACGTATTTCATGGGATCATCCCAAGAAAAGAATCATTCAATTGCCTTCGCGCCTCATGTGTTGATTATTAAAATTCTTTTGTATTTTTTAAACACTACTTTCTATCATCGTTTAGTGGTGAAATAATACTATTTCACATGCCGAAATCTAAAATGACATGTATAAATTACATTGTCAATAAATAGGGGCAGAGATTATATGAATTAGTATATGAGTTAATCATTCATATGTTGTTAGTGTAAAATTTTTTGACAACTAAACATATCTTTTAAATTATTTTATTTTATTTTTATTTTATTAAATAAACAACTGATATGACACTATTAAAAGATATGATTGGTTGTAGGTAATTAACTCTTAGTATATTATAAAAATAATTTTAATTACAAATCATTATTGATTCATGCATTTAATTTTTTTCCCTTAACAATTTTTTCTGGATCCTATATTTACTCCACAACATTGCTATAAGTAAAGTAAGTCTAAAAAGTCCAATTAAACAATTTTTTTCTTCTAATTTGATATACTTTATCTATTCATGCAAATATTGATTTAAACATGAAAGCCATTAATTGTCTACATACACCACCAAAAACTTGACTTTGCATAAAATCATTCTCGAATTCATCTCAAATATTCTTTTCCTTGAGCTGGTAGAAGAACAAATATGAAACTAGGTAGCTATAAGATTCTTTTCGTTGCCATTTCAACGTGCCAGCCTCTTATAAAATATGAATAAAAACGAATTTTAGCAAGTAGTCAACTTTTTTACTTTTAAGAGAGTTAGAGTTAAAGCGAAATTGCATAGCACGATTTCGAATTGTAATAGTTACTGATTGACCATTTCATTTAAATCAAATGCGTTGTTCAATAATTGTTTATTGATTATTTTTCCACCACTAGAGTCGTGTATGGAGTATATACAAGCTTCATATATAATTAGGGTTAATTATGATAATGAAAAAGTGTGTTTGGGTCAACGAAAAAGGAACCCCACGTGAAAGAAAGGTAGCCAAACAGCATCTTCACTCAAAGATTCCTTTCCCTAATCTGTGTTCACACCTGACATGGCTACTTTACTTTGAAACATGTCCTCAGATTCCAGGGATACCCTTTTCACACCTAAAACCTACCAACATTTGATCAAAATAATATGAAAGTTTTGTCTATAATTAAATAATAACTCTATAATTTATATATATAAAAATGGCAAACAACTAGGTTTGTCTCGTAACATGTATATAAAAGCTTAAGGCATTTTCCAATAAAATAATAACATCATCCTCTCTTTGAGTCAAAGCATGGATGGCACGTGTGCATGTTATGTGGCAGAGAGGTTTGTGTTGCTATTTATATGAGCCACTTCAGAAGCAAAGGCAGAAATTAAAATGGGGAATTGCTTAAGGCATGAAGTAGGAATGAGTGAGCACGATGAGTTGAAGGGTGTTAAGAAAAGGAGAGTAGTGAAGATAAAGATGAGGAAGAGAGAGTTGGAGGAGTTGATTAGTAAAGTGGAGGTGAAGGAGTTGAGAGTGGAACAAGTTTTGGCCCATTTCATGAACCACTCCCTCCAACGTCCATGGAGGCCTGCTTTACACAGCATTCCAGAGGGATCCAATGAATAGTCCATTATTGGTTCACACAACCTCTTCTTTTCTGTACTTCTAGTTCTAGGGGAATCTTAATGTAATGTAACCCCTTTTTGCTTCTTTTGTAAATACAAACTTACATTCACAGACTCTCTCTTTTTTCCTTCTCAAATCTTAATTTCGTTAACTTTGCTAGATATGAGATTATGTAACATAACTCCTTATTTTAGACTAAAATATTGTATGTTTATATATGGGGGGTGGATTATGAACAAACTGATAAGCTTAAGCCTACATAATAAGATTATTTGTATTCATGTAATGTTGTAACTTTGATGCTAAGCTTGGATGGAGTAGGTAAGGA